ACTAGGAGTTGCTATTTTTGTAACAGTATTGAAATGATGATGATGATGATGATGATGATGATGTCATCATCTTGGAGATATTCACAAATCCACAGGGCAATGAATTAATAGAAAAAGAAACATTAAAATATTGCAATTAGTAATCAGTTGGCAAGAAAATGATATAGGATAGTAGAACATAGCACAAACTATATAGAATCTAACAGACCAAAGGTCAAATTTTATTACTGTTATTTTTAATATGTATAATGTATACAGATAAATTAATGTTTAAAATCTTTAGTTTCATATTTCTAGTCAGGAATAGAGTGTAGCCTTTGCAAGGCTATTATGAGGAATAAATGAGAAAATAAGTGTAAACTGCAGGTCACTTAATAAGGACACAATGAAGATGAATGTCTTTTTGTTCCTTTAATATATTTCTGATAAGTACTTGCTTAAAACAATCCCATTGCTTAAAAGATGGAAATATAACATATCTTTGATAATACTACTTAATAAATATCAAGCAATTATTTAATTATTGAACTGTACTAACCCCGTGAAAGGAACTGAGAATGCAAAGTGGACATAACATAATTCCTGTCCTAGTAAACAAAACAGTCTGCTCAGGACATAGACATTTACCATGATAAATTCCCATATTAACCTAATAATTAGAGAAGAATTAAGATCTGTGGACTGGGGAGGACAAAATTAACTCTGGGAAACTTGAGAAATGCTTCAACAAGAAGGTGAGATTTGAGCAGGATTTTGAACTAGCAGTAAGATTTTATAATGTAGGCAAGAGGAGGACTAGCATCTCAGATAAAAGAAACCTTATGGGAAAAGCCATGGACCCATGGGAAAAAGGCTGTATGCAAGGAGCAGAGGTGTGGTGACAGTGGAGAACACAGGGTGGAGGTATGCAGAGAGGATGAGGCTGTAAGAGTCTGAGGAGACATACTGAAGTACTGTAAACCAAATCACAGGCCTTGGATTTTATCCTGTGGACAAGTGGGGAGGTCAACAGCAATTTCAAAGGAAGTGGTTGGCATTCATTCTTCCTTGGGAAAGTTCATTCTTTTGACTATGAGAGGAATAATTTGATTTGTCTGGGAATAAAAATGGACTGATAACAAAGAAACTAGTAAAGACGTATTATTAGAGTCTGTGAGAGAGATGACATGGAGGAAAAAAAGCAAAAGGTAATGATCAAGACAACTCCATATTGTTCAATGGAGAAAACGGTGACACTCAAGTTACATAGCCAAGTCAGAGAGAGAGAGAGAGAGAGGATGGTTTGAAAGAAGGAGAATGAGTTGTTTTGAAAATTTTTGGAATATCTGGGAGAAATCTAGATGATAGATCTGGGTATAATATTTAGGGGATCTCAAGGTACTATTAGGAAGGAGACTGAGTTTAGGATTGAGATCGAGTATAAAATGTAGATCTGGGGTAGAAAGAATAGAGGGGTAGATTAGCTGTTGCCTAGGATTACAATTCTGAAAATATTCATGGTAACAGTACAACAATTGAGGGGGCAGAGAGAGTGAGTCGACTGTTACTTGGGAAGTAGGAGTAGCTACAGAGGTAGCTGTTGCATTAGGAAAGCCAAGTGAGATGAGGATTTCTGGAAGGTGGATATCAAAAGTATCAAAAGCTGCTGCAGGATAGATGAGGAGGCCTGACTTGGGATGTTTAGATTATGCTGTTTGACTTTAGAAACTACAAGGTTTTTTCCTCCTAGGTTGGGCATTTGTGGGTATTCTGTAGAGCACAGCTTTTTCAATTTTATTATGCATCAGAATCCTGTTAAAATGCAGATTCTCTGGGATGAGACCCGAGATTCAGTATTTCTAAAAAGTTCCAAGTGATGCCAGTTTTGAATGGCACTTGAATGGCAAGTTTCTGGCAATTAGTAAAAATGGATAAGTTAAAATTCAGGATCTGTTTACTTTGAGAAGCTTTCTTCCCTTATAATAAATGGATATTATAGTTCCACATGGGAATTTGTACTGAAGGTAGATTAGAAAGGTATGGTAGTTTGGATATTTCTGTGTATTGAACAGCAGATGAGTTTCATTTTTAAAAAATTCATTTGACTGTCTCTAGTCTCCTCCTCTTGTCTTCCATGTTAGGGTACTAAAAAGCATTCCCTTAATATTTACTTTATCAGACAGATGAGCAGATACTTCTTTTTGGTAGAATCCACAATAAGTCTCAAAATATTTATTTCTTTTGTGCTTTGTTTCTGATATTTTTACCACCCATTAGCTAGAAGGAGTCTCATTTGACAATCTTTCCAGGAAAAAAATACACAATCCTCAATCCAGATATTTTGAAAATTCCTAGCTTATTGGTGTTCTGACTCTGTTTATCTTCCCCATCTTGCTTCAGAGCTGTGTCTACATGTCCCTTGTGTCCGTTTTACTAATAAATTGCATTAGCTATACCACCTCACCTACTCTGTTACTATCCTGAAACTAAACTTACTAAATCTGAAATGTGGGCTATGGTATTACAAGCACTGTGGGGAAAAATAGTGATTTTCTACTGAGTGTGGAGGCAGAGCGAAGTAGGAGATTAAGAAAAATGAAAGGGGCCAGAGGCATTGTGGGACATGTTGGGGGCTTGAGTTGGTGCAATAAACAAGGAAATTGGAAGAGAACACAAATGCAAATGGATTTGTAGAGGTTAAATCAGAGTGACAGCCTATTGATTGCATATTTGCAATAATTAAAAGGAAAAAGAGAAGAGTCAACTACTGAGGTTTCAAGCCCATTGGACTAAAGAAAATGATGATCCTGTGAATAGAAATTAAGAAATTAGAGGAAGGATCTGATTAAGACTTGGGGATAAAAGAAGGGAAGTGGTGTTTAATGTGGTGACTTTGAAGATCATGGAAATGGACATCTTTTCCTCAGTTGATATTGATGGTTGGGAGTGTGATGCATACATTAATTCTAGTTTATAGTAGATTTTACTTAAAGTTTTAGGTAAGAAATGAATTATACGCAAACAATGAATCATGGAATACTACATCAAAAACTAATGATGTAATGTATGGTGATTAACATAACATAATAAAATAAAATAAGAAAAGAAATGAATTTCTAAGTGAAAGAATGAATACAAGTGTTTGAGGAAAGAGGACCTATGAAAAATCATGCCTTTAAGAGCTCAATAGAGGGGAAGGACCCAGTGGAAGGAAGGAGAAAATGGACAAGAATGATGGTGGGCAAATCAAGTGAGCTCACTGGTATTACCGTCTGTGAAAGAGAGAGATTCACAAAGGCAGAGGGAGCAATATGGGTCAGATACAAAGATGTTAGAGTATGGTGAGAATTGAATAAAAGTCTTGTGTTCTTCACACAACAGTTTCACTAGTGCAAGCAAAGCAGAACAGAAGCCAAGTTTCAAAGGATTAAAATATGAGGGTTTGGTACAAAAATCTAGGCAACATGTAGAGTATTGTTCTTTCATAATAAACTAGAAACCACACATGGGCCATAAAACCAAACCAATTTTAGCAAGTCAGTTGACCTCTCTAGATTTTCTTCCCCCACCTCACTTCAATCCTAGAAATTATTGTACTGCTTTAAAATCATGGAATAAAACCCTATCAGATGGCTTCAGTACCCGAAGGAAAGTACATTGTTTGATTGTCATCTCTCCAGCTAATATTTGTGCTCAATTTGGAGAGTATGGGATCAGACATAGTAGTGAACCTTGAGGTAGGTCTCTTTCTTTTGGATTGACAGCTAGAATGAGAAGTTCACACAAAAAAGTTTCTTCACTTTGGGTGCTTAAATTTTAAATTTAAATTTTAAATTAGTATCTCATTTCAGTCAGACACTTTGGTTTTTATTTTTACATTATTCTCTGATATCATTGTTACTGAAGTAGTTGGGCCACTTGGCCCAGTGTAGTTAGGATACAGAATTTATTATAGGCAAATGAATAATATATCACATATCAAATGTGAAAAATGAGTGCTCTGAAAAGCTCCTTAGTTATGAGGGTTTATTCTTTTCTATCCGGTCGGTTTTTAAGGGCCTTTGTGCTCCCTCACAATTCACCTGAAAAGTGGTTCTCCACTCGGGCATCAATCCATGACCATCACAGGGTATGTGAACATGTTTCAGGTCTAATTGGGTCTCACCATATCCTTCAAAACACTAATTTCAGAACACTCAGGTAATTCAGGAATTAGTTTAACTTTAAGTGCAAAATTTCATTTATGTTTGTAAAATATTCACTGCTGTTTAGAACTCAGTTTAAATAATGCTTTCTTTTGTGTCTTTGATCAAAGATTTTGATTTAAAAATTATTAAGAATTATAACTGAAGAATGCCCAGAAGCTGTCATTAATAGTTGTTCAGTTTGTTTTTGGAGAACTTAACTCCAATTTATTCCGTTTAACCTTTACATAGATCTTTCTTTAGAAAAACATCTTGTATTGTTTGCTTCCTTAGAACATTCTATCCCTAGGACTCGAGATCAAACAATACATTTGTCAGAAACCAGATATTTTAGTCATTTGGTTTTGAAAATAATATTCCAGTTAAAGCAGCAAATTAGAAGCATTTACCAAAGAAAATAATGACTCTCATACTCTTTCTGTTCATTTTAACCTTTTTGGGAAAGAGCTCTTTGTATTATGTAAAGTTAAACTTTAGCTTTCCTGAAGTTTTCCTAGTCATTTACAAAGGTCGAATTTCTTTATGAGCTGAAATCCTCCTTAAAATAATATGAACAATATCATGCAGCCGTAATTTTAAAGTGATGACACACTTTATTCCAAGGGGTGCCCTGCATCGTTTCATAGTGTGTTCATTAATCAAAGGTCATGGTATATATGTTGCATTATCATAATTTTCTAATTAATTTATTCTTTATACATGCTTATACATGTTCCAATTGCATTTCATTAACTCATAGTTTTCTTGTAATGTTGTGCTTTCTTTCCATGTTCAAAGAATCTCTTTAATTCAATTTCTCTGTTTCTCCTCATACAGTCTGGCAGCCAGATATGCAACTCAGTCTAATCACAGTGGAATTGCAACCAGTCAAAAAAAGCCTACTAGGTCAGTTAATATCTCTAATTTATTGCTTGTTAGTGATAATAAAGTAACTGCCCAGTGTTATTTTGTCCTATCATTCTAAATTTTTTTCATAAATTACATACTTCTGGATGAAAAGTTTAGAAGACTGAATTCTTCCAAGTGGATTTCCATATGCATTCTCGGGGATGAGCATGTCTGTGTTAGATCATTAAATGGGTTTTGGCTTCTTCTGTTTTAGTTTTGTTATATATACTGTTATGACTGGGCTGAAGTCTAGCTTCTAAGCTTAGAGAAAGTCAAGGAAAACATTACTTGGAAGGCCCCATTCCTTCCAGGTTACAGAATCTGAGAGTTACAAGAATGTAATTGTTTTTCGAGATGGGCATGCATTAATTATTGCACATTTTGAAGCGGAACTGAGAAATACTGGTAGCTTTTTGTGGGGAGGTTAGCACCAGGTTACGAAGTTAACCTGGACTGTTCCTTTATCTGTAATAGTTGAAATTTTTGCTTCTTTCTGACATACATATTTTAAAGACAGTCTGTTATAGCAAATGACTGTATTATATCCTGTTCGGAAAATACTGATTGATAAATGTATATTGAAAGTGTTTGATGTTTTTTTTAAAAAATATTAAGTTGCCGAAGGCATGATGGTACAGCTGAATGAAGCCACAGCAAATGTGTTTGGAACCCCTGATTATTATGTGATTATATCTACCCTCTCTCTCACTGGGGAAGTATCTCTGTGGTGGCTTCCTAATCACTGCTCAGATAATGTATCGTATTATGCAATGTTTGACCACAAGGATGGCTTATGATGCCTTGATGTGAGGTATGTGCTTTTCCTCTTGCCTTGGTTTTCTAAGTTATGTTCATTTCCATAGTAATTAAAATGATTCAGGAGAGAAAAATTTAAAGGGTATTTAATTAAAAGGAAAAATGATATAAATTCAAATGTGCAAAATACAGTGACCTGCCATGTACAGTTTTATTACCACTTCTAAGACTCATGCATATAAAATATATTTTAAGTACATTAATTTAATAGAACATTTCTCTCTCTGTCTTTTGTTGGCTTCATTCTCATTTTTCTTTTTATTACTTTGATGAATGATCTGGAGCTCTGGCTGCCTGTCAAATTAGGGTAATGAGAAGACCAAATGGATTTTTTAATTTGTTTTAATTTGTTCTTCTGAGAACTAAAGATCACTTGGCTTCATGGGTCACAGTAAAGATTAAAATGCAATTTAATTGCTTTCTAGAAACAGGTCAAGTTTCATTGCAAGCAGGGCAAGTTTTGTGACAAAATTTGTTTATACATGTGAGTTTGGAATGAACTTTCTAAGTCTGTAGCTGTGTCTGCAGGAATAGTCCTTAGATTTATTATGATTGGGGCATTTGGCCAAATTAATTAATTGAGTTCTTTCTTTAGAGTGCAGTCATTGGTACTCAAAATTCCTGGTGTCTTTGGTTTTGTGCTATACTTACATACCCTCTAGATCCATTTGAGCAACAGTTAAATGCTGGAATCATTTGGAAAAGGTTCCAATCTTGTACATGGCACAGCTTCTAATTAGCAAAATAGCTGAAGGAACTATTTATTAGCCATATGTATTTAAACTCCAGAATACAATCAACATTTTGAAACTATTAACTATTCCAAGAAAGCAGCACTTGTGTTTTTAAGCCGGTATTTGTGTTTTCCTGATGTTCATTCCCTGTTGCAATACCTGTTACTATTTTAAAAAGTAGCTATAGTATTTAAGAGTTTGATTTCCTAATAATCTACAGAAATAATATATCAATTATGAAGGTGAGTCAAAATACGAAAATAGTAACAACTGATCTTGAAATTGTGATATATTGGGCACCAATATAACAGATATAAACACCCTTTTTCATTTAAAAAATTTAGTATAGAGAACAGTAAAAATTTCCGTGCTTCATTTATAAGGGCTGGAGTTTTTTTTTTTTTTTCTTTTAAAATAGAAATTATCAGAGCAGTACACAGTGACATGCACATGGTGGCAGCAAATAGTAGCCAAGACGCTGACATCCTTTAGTATCATGTTGTTAAATATGACTTAGAATGCTAATATTAGTTCTACGCAGAGTGTGTATTGTACATATACAGTACGTTAATAGTGTAGAATAAAATACAGTGATTGTATATTGCAGGCGCCATTCATGAAATAATTGATTCTTGAAATTTTAAGGTGGAAACTACTTAAACAGTGACATAAATGATCCACACAGGTATTTAATTTTAGTCCACATAAAATAACAGCAAATTACAGCCTAATGTCAAACTTCCCCTAAGTTTAACACAGTCTGCCTGTTATTTCCTCTTGTCCTGTCTTTCATCCCCAAAGACTAGCTGAAGTCACTGTCCCTGTAGGTGTATTTTGCATTGCCATTCTGCTAACAGAGATTTTCTGCTTCTGAGACCTGCATCCTTCCTTGTCATAGCACCTCTGTGGTCAGCTGGCCACACTTGTAAGACAACCAGCTGAAAGTCTAGGTGCTTATTTTTGGCAAAACGATTAAAGAAAAGAAATTTTTTGAGGCAGACCAGTAAAATATAAATTAACCCATGACCTTGGTCTCTGCACCATGTTTGAATTAGAATAGCTTACTACCTTAGATACGCACTAAGCATTTGCTATTAGCAATTTGTTCAGTAACTTTATTCTTCTTGTTATTATCAAGTTGACTTAGGAAACAACTATCTAAGAGAAAAATAAATGTCCCATACATTGAAAAGAACAACTTAACAACAACTGCAAATAGCTGATTAATATCCCAAGAACATAATACATTTGTGTTATTTCCCTTGCTTTTCATGTAATTGGTATAGTATTTTTAAGTCAAAGTGTTATTCCTCAGGGTGTGGTAAGTATGACTTTTTAAGTGAAAGGTTACTTTATTTCTAATTGCTCTACATTACTGATATCATTTTAGGGCATGTTTATTGAAAAGTGAAACAAGATTTTTCTGAAGATTCTTAATCCTTGTGTTTAGCTATTTATCACTGAAACCACCATTTTCTGCTAAATAGATGTTAGAACATCATATATTGTGCTTTTTCCATTAAGGCCTCCCCAATCAGAACCTCCTACCCCCTATCTTTTTGTAATATACAATAATGATGTAATTTTTCTTATACTGTTTCAGGCTTCCAGGTCCCTCTAGGGTACCAGCTGCCGGCAGCTGCAGCAAGGTCCAGGGAGCCTCTAATTTAAATAGGAGAAGTCAGAGCTTTAATAGCATTGACAAAAACAAGCCTCCAAATTATGCAAATGGCAATGAAAAAGGTAAGTGTTTGCCTGTTACATCATTATGGCACAAGTCTAACGTATTGGTCTTGTAAATTACATGCTAAGTCCGATATTTGAGCAGTGTTAATGCCTTTTGGAATGGAGTCGTTATCGGTGTGGTTTCATGTTCCCCCTCCTGAATTCCAGCTTTCTTTAGGGCTTTTCTTACCTGAAGAACATTTTAAGGAAGTAAACTCATTTATTTTAAAGTGGCTAATTATATACCCAAGTATAAAATCTGTTTCCCCAAAACATTTCCTCCTGGTTGCATATAAATAGCATTTTCTTTTGTCTTCTCATGTTTTATGAACAATTATTTTAAAATCATAAATCTATATTAGGTTTGTTTGAATCTTTAGCTTCAGTTGACATAAATGCCATAAGTGTTTTGGGCATCAAACATTGAGACATAATTAGGGTGGATATTTAATCTTTGATAGCAGCAGGACACAGAAATAATGCGACCTTAGTTTTCCCTAAAGAGACAAGTTATCCACGTTTGCTTTATTTTCTTGAAAGAGTACGGGATAGAAATATCAGATCACAAAATCATCGGGAAGAAAGGACACTTAGTGGAAATCTGTGTGAAAGGCAAATTATATATTAACTAGATGACACACAATTCTTTGTGTTGTGCACAGTGTGCTTTTAACAAGGGGCTTGCTTGATACATTGCGCTGTGGAGCATGGGTTCATGTGAGAGAGGGTGCATTTTACATCTAAACCAGGAGAAAATCAAGAATCTATACAGTTGTAGGCAGAGTGACTGTGTGAGGGGCTAAGGCTCTGGCTTTTGACTTAGTTCCTTCAAATCCATATAACTTTAACTTCTCTTTACACTATTTAACTTTCCATGCAACAAAACGTGAAGTTCAAAAGTAACAAACATGCTTAGTTAGTAGAATAGCTGGCAAATTCAACCAGGTAGGAATTTTTTTGCTCAAATCAGATCATTTCAGATTGTTTCATACAGATGATATGATCTGATAACTTTCTCTAATTTAGACACGAATTGACAGATAATCTATGAATCAGCACTTTTGTGAAAATTTCTCATGCATTAAAACAAAATTGGACAGAACATAAATCCCTGAAAGCAAGGCAGTGTGTCTTGATCCCTATAATATTCCCTGTTCTTGAGTGGAATGGAAAAAGAAGAAAATAATGTATAACTGGAAGGTAGGAGTTTGTCTTTAAAATATAAAACCTGTGATTTAGGAACCTAAGAAATTTTACTGGACACTTATAGTTTTCCTGAGGGAAAGGGAGAAAACAATTACTCAGAAAAACTTTCTTTGTTGTTTTGTGACTTTCCTAGAAAGTGTCATACGGAGTTTGTATGTGCTGTGAAAGTTTAAGGGAGAGTTTGTTTAGACATACAGATGTGTTGAATGGACGTATCCAGTTTAACTACATGATTCTACAATTATGTAATATTTTTGCAAGAAATTACTAATAATATTGGCAAAGAGACTTAGAAATGCTTCAGATGATCTCACATTTTGATATCATAATGTATCTGAAATATTCTGTCATGTGACATGGTTTTCTGTGTTTCTGGCGTCTAAAAGTAAGAATCTAAAGGTAGACAAACATTTCTGTTTTTCCATAGCCATTCAACCTCTCTTATGAGCAAAATTAGGAAGTAGTAATATTTACAATAACCACAAGGTGGAGACAGATGACATACATTATGAGGTTTTTGATTCAAAAAAGCAGATTTCCTTAGGCCCACATCTACAGCAAAATACAGGGTTTTCCTTACTTTTAATTCCCAAATAAATAAAAATTCAAAAGCATTTAAACTGTGTGATCTCACAGTCACAAATATTTATAATATGTCCAATATAGGCATTAAATGTCTAAAAACTGCCAATAAGAACTGAAGCATAAATTGCATCATATGATACATGGCATTTTCTATTAATGTGGAGTTACAACTTCATCAATACATCCAATATCAATATTTCTAAATTGATCATTCTGTCATGCTATTTTATATTTCTAAAATACTGTCTTGGGGCACCTGGGTGGCTCAGGTTGTTAAGCATCTGGCTCTTGATTTCAGCTCAGGTCATGATCTCAGGGTCATGGGATTGAGCGTCACATCAGGTACAATACTCAAGGTGGAGTCTGCTTGAGATTCTCTCTCCCCCTCTCCCTCTGTCTCTTCCGCCTCTTGTGCACACATTCTCTCTCCCGCTCTCTAAAATAAGTAAGTAAATAAATAAATAAATAAATAAATAAATAAAATATTTTTAAAAATAAAATGTTATCTTAAATTGTAAGAACAAACAAAACAATGATAAACATTACATACGAAACAATTTATAATTTACTCTTTAGGCTATTAGAGGGGAATATCTTCTTGGATAAGAATGTTTTATTTAATCTTTTTGACCTGGATATTTATAGTGGTAGCACAATCTATATAAAAATAGAAAATTTCTCCTGCTGACAAGCTGATCTCTGTCACAAACTGGTCTGCATACATATTCTTGATATGATCAAGTAAGGTGAAAACTAAGTAAGAGTTTTCAAAGGTCACAGTATTATAATGACAGAATTCAGAAAGTAGGAACTTGAGTAATTGCTACTCCTTTTTTAGTTATTAGAAAGTGTAACATTTAAATTTAACAAATTAAGATATTTTACTTGAGGGATTAACCAGATTATCTGCAATGTGTTCCCTGAATGCCTCTAAGTGGAAATATATTTTCTACTTTCTTTAACAAGTCTTGGGTGAGGAGTTACATGAACCACTTGAAGAATCTCTAGAATTTGTGATAGACAATAAAGATTTATTCACAATTAAAACAATTCCATTTCCCTATTAAAAGACATACTGTTGAAAGCACAGTGGGGTGCCTGGGTGGCTCAGTCATTAAGTGTCTGCCTTTGGCTCAGGTCATGTCCCACATCAGGCTCCCTGCTCAGCGGGAAGCCTGCTTCTCCCTCTTCCACTCCCCCTGCTTGTGTTCCCTCTCTCGCTGTGTCTCTCTCTGTCAA